CCTTGGGGTTGGAGGAAAGTGGAACATGTTTGTTGTGAGATGGCAACACTCTAGTTCCTTCCATGCCCCCATTTATCTAGCCCTCCTCTCCTTCCTTGCCTCCCTTATGTGGTACTTTGTCATTTCTATCACCCCACCTGTCCTCTCCGCCCTGGCCTGAGGCAAAAGACCCTGATTCACAGGCACAGGTGCACTTCTTTTTTTTTTTTTAATTAATTAATTAATTTTTATTAAGATTTTATTTATTTGACAGAGAGAGACACAGCGAGAGGGCAACACAAGCAGGGGGAGTGGGAGAGGGAGAAGCAGGCCTCCCGCCCAGCAGGGAGCCCGATGTGGGGCTCGATCCCAGGACCCTGGGATCAGGACCTGAGCCGAAGGACTGAGCCACCCAGGCGCTCCCCACCCTTGCTTTTTTTTAAAGTAAGCTCTACACCCAACGTTGGGCTCAAACTTACAATGCCAAGATCAAGAGTTGCAGGCTTTACCAACTGAGCCAGCCAGGTGCCCCACATGTGCACTTCTTTGAATTGTCAGAGGGGCTGCTGGGTATCTCTTCTCTCCTTGGCAGCCTGTACTTGGTGGGGAGCAGGGATACTCTGGAGAAGCCATGGGGGAAGTGGGGAGCATCTGGTTCTCTGCGAGGAAGGGGGGCTGGCAGGGCCAAGAGGCTGGGCTCTGTCTCAATAACAGGGGCAGGGTAGTACCTGTTACTTGTACCAGGCCAAGGGAGGGGCTGGGACTGTGGGGGGCAGGGTTTGGGTCACTGACAGGGAGATGGATTAGCTTGAAGCATCTGGAGCTCTTTGGATTTAGGACAAGACCTCCCCCTCCTTTAGTTCAGCTGTGATACTATTCCCCTCCCTTCCTGGGCACCCCCATGATGTCTGCAGTGCTGGCCAACGAGATGCCCAGAAGTGAGAGCTGAAGGATTTCAGAAGAGGGGGAAGAAGTTATTTCCTGGCTGGGGATTTCTTTTGAAGTTACATTTTATTTATTTGAACTGTTAGTGAATTCATAAAATTCAAAAGGTATAAAGTGCAAAGTCCCCTTCTTACCCCTGCCCCAGACACCCAGTTCTCATCCCTAGAAGCGGGGTATCTATTGGTTGTGCATTGGGATTATTGGCAATAGATATCTTCTGCTCCCCGCCCCCATATTTTCACGTAAATTGTACCATCTTCTCTTTCTGCTCCACATTGCTACATAGACTTCTTCATTCTTCCTTGTTTTTCTCTTTTTTATTTTAAAAGATTTTATTTATTTATTTGAGAGAGAGAGAGAGACACCACGAGCAGGGTGGAGGGGGCTGAGGGAGAGGGAGAAGCAGACTTTCACTGAGTGGGGAGCCCGACGCGAGGCTCAATCCCAGGACCCTGAGCTGAAGGCAGAAGCTTAGCCAACTGAGCCACCCATGTGTCCCGTTTTCCACCTTTAAAGAAATATTTATTTATTAGAGAGAGAGAGAGAGATATCGGGGGAGGGGCAGAAGGAGATAATCCCAAGCTGACTCCATGCTGAACGTAGAGCTGATGCTGGGCTTGATCTCCCGACCCTGAGGTCAAGACCTGAGCCGAAATCAAGAGTTAGACACTCAACAAACTGAGACACCCAGGTGCTCCTGTTTTCCTCCTTTTTAATGAAAAGTTGCATACTTTACATTGCATGGACATTACTCAATTTAATTTGCCCCCCACTAAGGGATACTTAAATTGCTTTCAGTTTACTTGCTATTATAAACTTTGTACATAAATGCGAAGTGGATCCTGGGATAAATTCCTAGACTTGTGTTGCTCCAGCAATGAAAGTTACAGGTTTCCTATAGTCTTGCCAACACAGCCTGTTAGGTTTTTTTCTTTCCTCCTTCTTCTTTTTTCCGCCCCGCCAAATTGTGGCTCATTTAAGAGGCACATGGTATTTCAGGATAGCTTTAACTTGTATTTCTCTCTCTCTCTTTTTTTAAAAATTTTATTTTATTATGTTATTAGTCACCATACAGTACATCATTAGTTTTTGATGTAGTGATCCACACATCATTGTTTTCATATAACACCCAGTGCTCCATGCAGGACGTGCCCTCCTTAATACCCATCACCAGGCTAACCCGTCCCCCCGCCCCCTTCCCCTCTAACACTCTCAGTTTGTTTCTCAGAGTCCATAGTCTCTCATGTTCATGTATTTCTCTTATTATGAGTGGCTTTCGGCATCTTTTCATTTGTTTAAGGGTCCTCATTTTTCTGAGTTGGATATTTAATTCATTTCATTTTTTATTTATTGATGTAGTTACTTACATGCTATGAATTTTCCTCTGAACATTGCTTTAGCTGTATCCCATAGCCTTTTGTGTGTTCTTCTCATTATTTCTGTTTTCTAGATGCTCTGTAATTTGGGTTTATACCTCTGCTTTGTCTCAAGCGTTTTTAAGAAAGGGTTTTAAAATTCCAGGTGATAGGGTTTATTTTTTAATGGGTTTGTTATTAATTTCCAGACTTACTGCAGTAAGATCAGAGAATGTTGTCTGCTCTACCATATTCCATTGAATCTAAAATGTTCAAGTTGTAAGATGTGTCATTATTTTATTTCTAAACTTTTTGATTTTGGAACTTTCTTTTCTAAGGCATGCATTCGATGCTGTAAGTTTCCCTTTTTTTTAATTTTTTTTTTAAAGATTTTATTTATTTATTTGAGACAGAGAGAATGAGAGAGAGAGAGCACATGAGAGGGGGGAGGGTCAGAGGCAGAAGCAG